GACATACCTGGTGCTTGAGACGAGCGGCATTGGCCGCATATGCTCGTGCTTCGGTGAAGCTGTTGACGTCAACTTCGGCATTGTAGTAGTAGGCTAGATAGGACCTGCCATCTTGTGGTCTGGGCGCCGAGCGCCAGTAGGATATCAACTCTTGTTCTTTGTTGATGATGATGGGAGACAACTTCAGCATTGTCAATCACGAACTATTGCTGTGTTCTTATTGGGTGAAACTCGTGATGCCATTCTGCTTATGGTTCGAGGTCATGGCTATCTGGTAACTTATGTATGATGCTGTTTGCGTTCTGGAGTTCGCTATTGCTCATCTTCCTTGCATAAGTGACAAATAGGTAAATATGAATATATGATGAGTCGGTGGAACTTGGACAAAACAGTCTGTCGTTAGACGAATCTTGGTCTTCAGTTTACTAACCTTGTTTACTGAGTCATACTGACCTCTTCTCCCTCTCTGCCTAGGGTTATACGGGCAGTTCTCTATGACAATATGTGTGTGTATATATATATATATATATATATATGACGATATATATATGATATATATCTATTTGACGATATATATGTAATATATATACATACAATGTTATGTCGTTCCAGTTAGGCACTGATTGTATTTGATTGAGGTAAGCTGTGCTTGAACTGCTTCATGAAGGAACTCTCATGTTTGTCTCATTTCCAGTCTTTTTCTCAGCTGCCTGTTTGCAATCTGATGTGGCGTGCTGCTTGTATTGAAGTGATTTTGGTCGGCTTACGTCTACACTTTCCTCCCTCTCTCATCTGCCCATCGGTTTCAGATCTTTTCTGCGTTATTCAGCATTGATCTGGTAGGTTTGCTGTTTCCCAAATTACTTTTTGTTTGTTTTTGGGGGTCCCAATTTGCACAATGATGCACAACAACCCAAGGAAGGACGGGAGTCAGCACAAAAGGAGAAATGGAAAATAGAGTAGAGAATGAGACAAAAGAAAGAAGAAGAAGAAGAAGAAGAAGCAGAAGAAGAAGAAGAAGCAGAAGAAGAAGAAAGAAGAAGAAGAATTGATCCCCTGTCCTCTCGCTACCTTCGTCATCTCCCCCACCTCTCCTTCTTCTCGTTATTGCGTCATGTCGTGTGTTCTTTCTTAACTCCCTTAAAGCATAAGAAATGAAAAATGAAACACTTTTCCAAGTGGTCTCCCTATCAATTTCTCTTCTTGTCAGTTCTTGAGAAGTAAACACCCCACGACTATTCTTCCTCAAATTCCTCCCCTTGGTAGCGCAAGTACGATGCCCAGATTGTCATCAGTGTCAGCGGAGTGGGATGTTCAGAAGACAACACAAAAAGAGAACTTGCCCCTCTGTTCTCCATAGCACCATTGGGTGAACTCTCCACTCAGCACATCCCTCCCTAAAAGGGTCTTCTTGATGTAGAGCCACACCATGCATGGCCGCGAAGATGTAAGTCTGCCATTGCCAAAGGCAAGTCTTCATCATAGTTTTTCCTTCTTCCTCGTTGCCCTCCTATTCTTGGTCATGTGAAGTCTTCTTCTTCCACATGCCAAATGTGGGCACTAACCCCAGCTACAATAGCCGTTTCCTTCTTCAACCTCCAGCTACTCCTTCACGTCAGCAAACATCACCTCATCTCCCTCTGGGCAGAGCAGTATCATGACTGCCGGAGCGTCTCCTAAGTGAACCCATGCACTGACGTATATCGTACTCGACCAGTAGCCCCAGCCACCGGTCTCCCTCCTACTGGTAGGTTGTGTGGCCAGGCTTCCTCCTCTGGTAGGTAGCTTGTAGGCCTACCCGCCTACCGTCTTCACCGGAATAGAACGCCCGGTACATTATAGCTGTACTTGGCACAACTTTCGGTCCAGATGCAGTGATAATGACCGGGCGTTCTATTCGGGTGAAGACGGTAGACTCCAGGGCGTTGGGTCCCAGAATGGGTAGGAAATTGGGACATGCATAAAGCGGATTTGAGAGTCAGCCTTGATGGACCTGCGGCGGTTGCCCTCTCTATCGACGATCGGTGGTTGTTTCAACACTTCTGTTAGTCTCGCGCCACGGGTTGACAAATATTGAGTGGCAGCATCAAGATCTGAGCCAAATTGAGCAAAAGCAGCTACTTCACGACACGATATCGAGTGCTTCGCACCTTTGAAATCGTGCCTGGCTGCGCGACTCTGAGGAATGGTTCTGGTGGTGCATATAACGTCAGAGCGATACAGGCAAACCGTAACGCGCCTTCGGCCTCAGTAAGGCACACAACTTATAAAAAAACAGTTTCTGCAAAGGAAAAGCACTCGAACAATTAACTTTTAGTTTCAAAAAGGTGTCGGGGGAACGAAATTCCACAGGTCGTATCGCCCTTTTCCTGATTGCAAACTGCAAGCCAACCTATATCCTACCTGCCATCAGACATATCTGGCCTGATACTGGGTGCGAATACGGTCTACTGGGCTACAGGGCCTCTTTAATTGCTGAGAAGTCCGTCTGGAACTCTGTAAGTTTGCCCATATGTCCCTGTCAGTCCTACTTTTACCATGTATGTGCATATGCCGTGATAAATTTCAGTTTTGCCCCCATGTTCGCTTTTGTTTGCTGATATGTCCCTCCTGGTGGGGCATAGAACAACACCATGGCCAGCAACTTGGTACCCAGGTATAGCCAACAGACCCAGAAGTTGGACGAAGACGCACATTCATATCTCAAGCAAGCAAAACCACACCAGACACCGAAACTCTAGTTTAGAACTTGATAAAGAAAGTAAGTTTTTCTAAGAAACCATAGAGACGGTAATCTGCTAATATGCAGCCTCCTTTCCTTCTGTCTCTCCTTACTTATGTGCGTAGTATAGTGGTGTGTCTGCTGCCCATGCTGGTATGGACCTGGCTGACTCAACTGATTCCCTATTGTTCATGGCCTGGGTTGGTGCATGTCTGTGTGTGTGTGTGTGTGAGACTCTGTGTGTGTGTGTGTGTGTGTGTGTGTGTGTGTGTGTGTGTGATCAGTTTGACCGCGGATACATCTCACCCTACTTTGTCACAGATCCGGAGCGGATGATCGTCGAGTACGAGAATTGCAAGGTGAGTTTGGTATTGGTATCAATTTTAGGATCAGTGCAGCTCAGTCAATCAGTCCAGCTCAGTTAATTCAGTGCCCCAAGTGTAAGCAGGCAGCATTGTGTATGGTGTTTTTTTTGTAGGGCTCATGCCACATGGGTTGTTTGGGCATCTGTGTTGGGCATCTGTATTCAGTGCGACGAAAGGGACCCATCTTGAGCCCCACACAATAGATCTGTATGACTGCAACAACGGTTTGTGATATATGCTATGTAGTATATTACTACTACTACTGTCTTCCCCCGAACATAACGCACCCTAAAAATGAATGTATACAAGCTATATTTCCGTCCAGATACAGCCAAAATGAGGGTGCGTTGTGTTCGGGGGAAGACGGTAGTCTACTACCATTGCCATTACGTCTATCTATCACATTGTGCGACCATTAGGAGAGTGTCTGTTTGCTGTAGAATCTCTGTGTCGATGCCTGCCTATCCTGAGGAGGTGCTCATCTTGGACTAGACCTACGTTGTGACTCGTACTCACCCCCGTACGAGTGCAAGTTGTACTCATTTCTTGTACGCTACTTGTACTCAAGGCCCGTACGAGTTTTTTTAACTTTTTTTTACTGTTTTTATTTTTTTTTCTCCAATTCTAATAAGAATCTGCAGATGGTGCTCAGGCAAATGTTGCTTGTTTTGGGATGTTACATCACATATATTTTTTTCGGATTTTTTGGATGACTTTTTTTTTTTTTTTTTTTTTTTTTTTTTTTTTTTTTTTTTTTTTTTTTTTTTTTTTTTTTTCGTACGGGTCGTACGGGGGCGTACAGGTTCCCGTACAGATATTATCTGTACGTTTCGTACGGAAAGGCCCCGTACGTGTACGTTTGGTAACGTAGGACTAGACCATCAAGTTTGAGCGGCGAGATATCATCAACTGGCAAAGAGATTTTGAAGTGTTGGGACTCGGCAGTTGTATATACAGGAAAAGTGCGCTATTGAGTAGCGAGATGTGTTTTGTAGATGAATGGTCACCCTTCAACGTGCTAATCTCTAATCTCTGTATTCCGATTGGAATGAAGAAAGTCGGGACGTGGTAGCGCCTTGTGCGTGGAAAAGCAACGATGAAACCCTGCCTGGTTGTGTGTGTTTAGAGATTTTTTACCACGAAGGAGTGAAGCCGCTACCATTCTTTTTTTTTGTTTTGTTTTTTTTTTGTTTTGGACAATTTCTCGATTTATGCATGTCATCCTTGCGCAGAGGCCATGCTGCTAATCTTCTTTCTCTGTATTGTTCCAATTTTTTAACGGATGTCCCGAAGGAGCGAAGCCGCTACCATTCCATTTTTACCGAAACCGAAAGGAACTACTATGATTTTACATAATCGAGGCAGCCGGCAGGCTGTTGTAGGGGTACACTTGCCTCGAAAGTGCGTATTTACAAATAGTGCCATACTCATGTTTGCTGTGTGCAATTTTTTGGTTGTGAAAATTCTTGCAGTTGCTTCTTGTTGACAAGAAGATCACAACTGCGCGTGACATGATTGGCATCCTTGAGGATGCGATCAGGAACAGCTACCCTCTCGTCATTATTGCTGAAGATATTGAGCAAGAAGCACTGTCCACACTCGTCGTTAACAAGCTTAGGGGCACTTTTAAGGTGGCTGCTCTTAAAGCTCCCGGCTTTGGAGAGCGCAAGAGCCAGTATCTTGATGATATTGCAATCCTCACTGGAGGTAGGTCACTTGTTTGTGTGTGTGTGTGTTGGCGATGCAGTGCCTCTTGAGACAATATGTGCCAAATATTTCAAAAACCTTGGAGCTGCTTATCCTTGACAAGTCAGAGGATAAGAAATAAACTGTTGCAGGGTCTAAGCCTCTAAGGTTTACGTGAACTGTAAAAAAAAAAAAAAAATAAAAAAAAAATAAAAATGAAAGGTATACGTGAACTGTCATCCCATCTTCTTACTGGGTAGAGCTTCACCTTCTGGGTTAGGTTTACCTCAGCACATGCAGATGATAATGAATGAATTAATAATTATGGGTTTGTGGCGGCCTGGCATTTTTCATCGTACACTAATATGCGGCACGTATGTGGCCAAAGCTGTGCAAATAGGAACTGCCTAACAAACATTGCGACAAGGTCTTTGATGTCATCATCGTGGCAAAGGTTGGGCTGAGAATACTCAGCTGGGTCTTCTGTGTCATCACCCATCATGACCCTACCATTTGTGTCCTCTCTTGCATCGAGGATATAGACTGACTGCTGAGTCTTCTCTTATCCTTTCCTATGCCCTCATCTTTATTACACACTCCTTGCTTTCCTTCCACCTTCCATCGCTCCATTTGTCCTCTCTTTGTGTTCCCCTCTCTTTTCTCTGCCTCTTTTTTTTTTTTCACAGTATGCACATTGACCGTCGTCGTTTCACATGGGGGTGTAGGTAGCTTCCCCCGTGCTCATCTACGTCAGCGTGGGAATCGCTCTACGGGACTGGCACAGTAAATGGAGAGGCAAAATAATAAATAAAAGTTATAAAACAGAGACTGTGAGGAAAAAGCCAAAAGAAAAAAGAAAAGAAAAAAAATTCACAGAGAATGACAAAAAGATTTTAAAAGAACAGTTTTGCTGTAAAAAAAAAAGAAAAAAAGAAAAAAAAGAAGAAGACGGTTTTGCTGTGCCTCATGCTGCCTGCTCTCTTCTTCATTTGTTCTGCAAAGTCCATTTTTTATTTTTTTTATTTTTATTATTAAAGGAAAGGCCACTCTTTCAGTTGATAGTGCTCGATAGTATTTGATCATAGTTGCGGCGCACGTCGGTGCGCCGGTTTGCGCACGGTTTGCGCACGTCGCGCCGCGCACCGCACAGTGCACGGAAGCGCAGCGCATTTGAAAAATTAGGTCCAAAAAAAAAAAGAAAAAAGTAAGGGTTTTCTAATTTCTTAGGGCCCCTAACTCGGCAAAAATGTTAAACTCACCGCGCAAGTTCACAAACCGGCCGCGCCCACGGCCCGAACTTTTCTTTTGGGTAAGGGCTGCTGAAAATTTGATTTGCGCAGGCCCTTCCCCAAAAAGTTTCGAATGGCGAGGCACACAATAGGGATCATTCCAACTTTGTTTTAGGCGGGGTATGAGAGCTGTCCTTCCCGCTGCCTTCTGCAAATCCCACACAGTAGTGGGGTCAGTTCGCAAGAAGGGGTAGTCGCCTAATAACGACCTGCCCCGCGAAGCTTCGCAGAAGTCGCAAATTGCATGTTCTATTGCCAGCCGACCACCAATATATGCTGAAGATTGGCGTTCAGGTCCGCATGTCGGCAGTTATGGGTTAGGATGAAGATGCCCGTGGCTCTCTCGTTTTTTTGTTTTTGTTTTCTTACGAATACGTCCAGTGGGGCCTGCTCCAC